CTTGTCGGGCCCCAGGATCAGATTATATTTCTACCTCCGGGCGACGGCCTGTCAAGCCGACCTCGAGCACCAGCTTTGACCGGCTGGTCTTTTTTAGGAAATTGCTATCAATAATTACGCTACAAAACGATTCATTACCGTTTTCCAGGCTCTACCAGTCTCTTGAGGATCAAACTCATCTTTGTTGCTTCTTTGCCATTTAGTTTTTGTTATTCTGCAGTATGGATAGGACTTCGCTTTGAACTCTCATAGAAATAAGCTCCCTGGAGTCATTTCAGGCGCAAACCACACCGAGGGACAGAATCAGGGGTCTGCCAGTAATGCAAACCACATTTCTGGGTGGAAACATAAGAAACTTGTGAGTTGAGTATGAGGGCAGGTATTGGAGGGTTTTACCCAGAAATGTGGATGTGAACAATTTCCAGTCTGCCCAATCGCTTTTCCTGTTCTGCTTTCGGTAGCTTCTTCTTATCACCCTCATTTCGACCATGTTCCTGAAGGGAGAGTTGTGAAAACTTGACAGTTCTACTGGTCTTTCTCTATACTCTTCCCACAGAGTTTCAGAATTTGATTGACTGCTTACTTCTGCTGACCGAAATCATTGAACCCCTGTCCTCCCTGATCGGTTTTCTCTGGTTAAATGGTCATCAGACAGAGCCTCATGCCCTGACTTTTTCCCTTTTTCGTTTTCCTGAGGACATGATTCCCACTTTAAAGTAGGCGAGATTCTTCACATTTATAATGGAACAATAAAATTTGCCGTTAGATATTACTCGTACTAACAAGGATTCCAAAAGTGGTTGGGTAGAGGGAAGTAATGCCGCACCTGTTCTTTCTGAAGGCTTTGTTTGAGGATCTGTTTTTGACTTGAATACAGTATATTTACTTAGGGCTCAGGTCCTCCTAAATGTGCTCTACCTCAGCGTTCAGCATTTTTTCCGAGAAACTACTGGTTCTGTGGCTTCTGTACAGCTTTTCATGTCATTCATGTTCTGCAGGCCACTCCAACAGTAACACCCACTTCCTTCGGGTAGCTTTGACATTCTGATGAATGGTAGTGAAAGTGATAGGCTTGATGATATGGAGAATTGAATTAGCAGTGTCAGAGTATGTTCCGTAAAGTGTTGGAAAAGAGCATGTATGTTATAAGCAGGAAACGCCCAGTATTACGGTAATGCACACGTCACTAGTGAGATGTAAGTAATCGATTCCCTAATTGAGTAATTTTTTTTCTTGACAATTCTGATTGAGCAGACATTGGGCTCCTTCTAAGAAATGGGTAACAACCCTTTTAGGATAGATTCTTGTGGTTCTAGACGACGGGGTCAAAGACAGAGTGCCGCCTATCCAAGCTTGGTAAGGGCACTCAGTTCTTGGCCCCGTTCTTCCCACAATGCATAATCAGTAGAACTTTACAGTGAGGTTGACTTTACGGCTTATACCCGGAGCTGGTTTCTACCTAATTGTTTGTTTTTTTTTTTTGACAACAAGTAGAGGTTCCCAAATATGTAAGAAAAGGTAAACGAATTTAAAATGGAGAGTTAATCAAGCTTCCTTCTTTACAAGTATCTTCATAACTAAATTAATGTTATGTCCATTAACTGGATAGTGTTACCGTAACGGTACCGTTACCGTAACTGTGGTCTCAGGAAAGAAATTTGGATCTGCATGTGGTTGCTAGAATGTAGCCAAGTCTTGGAACTCATCGTTACATTGACAGTGGCATCTGATTCACCTGAAAAACGTTTGATCCCCATGGGCCATTGGAAAAGGCAGAACTGTGCCCTCCTTAATTTGTTTATTTATTATTTGATACGCTCAATAAACATGCAAAAAATCATATGCACCAAGTGCCAGATTCCAAGAATTTGAGTCGGAACTGGAAAGAATTTCTCTCAAGAGGGGAGAGCTCGTTCGATGTAACCTCTAGGTGACAAGTGCCTGTTCCAGTCGGCTGTGGTGCAATCAAGTGGGTCATAGTGGAGCATGGTGAAAAGTCGAAACATGGATACATCGACCACCATTGCAGGGACGATGAACTCGAAGTAAGCTCCAGACGCTGATATACCGACCACCATCATAGGACCCATACAAGGAGTAAGCCATCCCACAGTTCTGAGTGGACGTCGAGAGAGTGGAGTAGGTATTTGGTCTGTTCTGAGTAATTTTCCTTATTTATTTTAATTACCCAGGATCGTTTGCAAGCTACCTATGTGTCATTTCCGATGATTACCACTTAAGGCGGAGGCTTACATGACACTTGCACCAGGAGGCTATGATATCGCGGCTCTTGACTGGTATGTGGCCGTTACGCAATGTCGGCATTCGTGTTTCATGCTCGGGCTTCTGATTAGTATGAGGCGCGAGTCAAGAGTGCTCTCCATCGAATAATAATCGCACATGTCTCGTTGTTTCGCATCATGTCCACAGAGAGCTCATGTCTGAAGGGTGAAATCGAGAAATATAGCGACATTTGGCTGACCACGAAGGACAACGAAAGCGATACCGACAATTTGCGAGCTCCTTCGACGAGGATAATCCATTCAACAGCCATCAACACCTGAAATCACTGGAAGTCAGGGACAAGGAGGATAGTTTCGAAGCGCAGTCAACGGTGTGAAATTGAATCCAACTGGATCGTTATGGCATTTTCTTCGGCATCGTTTGCAGCTAGATTTTGATTCTTATTATTTTCTTATTTTTTAGGCTTTTTTCAACCAAGCAAACTGTGAAAAAAAAAATCATATTCACGTGGTGACCCAGAGAGCCCGCGCTTTCGAAAATCACTATTTTCACCTAAAGATGATTTCGGAACAAAGTATACCTGTCTGTCCTGCGAGTTTGTCGCTTAAGCATATCGGTTTTTTACTTTTCCCTAGTTATTTCGAAATTGTTCCCATAAGCAATACTGCATCTTTCAAAGCATGATGCATCAGTGTTTTGGACGGAGTTCTCAGATTTGGAAGATCTGGGAGTAGTAGTACCAGGTTGACCGATGATACTTTTACGGTTATGCCAATATGGGGACCAAGAGTAATCGGTGATCTGAACCAATTTTCAGTATTATTTTTTCTTTTTGAGTCAACAAACAGTCGGTTGAAGAAGTGAGGACATGTAAGAAAGCCACTGAAGCGATTTTTCCGGATCAAATTCCCGCCTTGTTATTGACCCCTGGACTGGAATGCGCCACATAATTGACTTCATTTGTGAACAGTACAAACAATTGAATGGGTATTTATTATAACCAATGCGATGATATCCTACCGAGTTATAAATAAGACATGACCTACCCGAATCCCCTGGCAGTTGGACATGCATATACATATTTGGAACGATTTGTTCCTAAACCATTTCTCTATGTTCATGGTTGATGACTGTCGAAATCGTGCCAGGACCACTTCCAAACTTGTGGCAAATAAAGATTATCTTACTTGTTTCGTGTTGTTCTAGTTGTCTGATGTTTTTTTTTTGTCGCAGTGCGCGATGTGAAGGTTCCGCAAAAATGAGTCGTGGTCAAGGCTTCAGCCTTGAACGGGATTCCAACCCGTTCTTATGCTTCCTTAGCACCGTATAATTCATCCCTTTCACTACCGAGATTCCGCTAGCCTTTGGCTTCTAGTGGACTGTATTTCATAGCTCATCAGCACTCACATGTACTGCGCGGTAAGCCGATCATTCAAAAGCAGCGGTGAACCGTAAAGCTGTGAAGTTCGTTCAAAGCCTGCAAGCAGAATACCTTGAATGAGTCCATTAAAAGAACGGCTTGTTTAATCAATTATGCAGCGATCTGTCGTCCAGAGAAGGTTTTTGACTGTGGTAATTGGCAGCCGGCTAATTATTCTCGACCATGGGCACATGGTCAGCGATTTGACAGCTTTGGTATTGTACACGAGACTGCTTATTAGAAAGAATGTTGTGGCTGTTGGTCAGACTTTCGAGGCCAAGAAGAAAATGCCAAAAGGACCTCCCTAGACGATTCTTGAATAACTTGCTGAAATAGCTGATAGTAAAGCAAGTACTTGAGATAGCGAGACTACACGGAATGAATATTACACAGGAAGTGTTTTATTGAGGAATACTCTCCTTCAAAATAGCACATATGTATAGCACAAATACGGGTAAGAACCCCGTTCGAGACCGAACTTCTACCCATAACTCGCCAACCTTCGAGACTCCACCCAACTTATGATTGACAACTGTTTATCGACTACCTTGGCGAAATCGTTTTACACAACCTCAGTTACCAGTTGTACAGTTAATGTTCTGCTGAACTGCGATAGCCCTTTGATAACGGGATTCATGGGAAAGAAGTTTTGGTTCAATCCCGAGAAATTTATTGCGCCAGTCACTGGTCAACGGAATAAAGTTCGACCCTTCACCACTCCTCCCCCTATGGGTCCCCTCCTAGCTTCTCTGCCTTGACTATTTCCTTTTATGTACCTTCCAGCCTTCATATCTTACTTAGCCTGTGAATAGTTTATTTTACAGCAGGCTCCTGGATGATCATGGGTTAGTATTTTTCAGGGAGACACCGGGATGACGTTCATCATCGGCTTTCGATCCGCCTTTTCATTTATACGAATTTGATTCGAATTTCTCGAAACCACATTATCTTATTATAAGTACGCTTCTAATCATTCACTTGCATGTTCTTCGAAATGAGTCTGCAGTTTATTCAAAAGCGTTGAAAAATTTAAATGTCAAAATTTTAGGATGATGGAGGGCTGAAGCCGATCCTCGAAGATTTGTGGAGTTCTTACAAGTCTGGCAATCATTGACTGTACTGGAAATGTCTTGGCATGAACCACATCACCTCACTGATTTTATTCGAATGATACGGAATTTTATGACACACAAATGGTTTATACATAGGAAGGATGTTTTTTATAGCAAGAATTATTGAAATGACGATGATTTTCTTCAATGTTGAAATCAGACGGGTCATCAAAGTATTTCCCATCAAAGGTGGAAGTAATAAATATTTTATTGAATTTTTTGTCATGGTTTCTGCTCAACTGGCTTTCCAATGTGAATGTCTACCATGAAATCGGAACTTTTACTTTATTAGCAGGATCATGAGACAAGGAAACTTTAATGAAGTTACTAGCCGTTGTAAAATTGAAAAATTGAAGTTTGCAATCAGTTCCAAGACAGCGCTGGACTAAGAAAAAGTAGCTCGATCTTACATTCCAGTACTGAGGGACCACGTCTCGAATGGCCTCAGTTCAGAATGCTTCATTTCAGCGAAATAAATTCGCGTTTCCCAAGATTGAAGATGGTTGAGTGATTAGTGGAGTGTGCTCTCTGAAGTCCTGATAAATTCGATAAATTTCTATATCGATGAGAAATACCGAGATACTAGCTCACGGGATCGGATCGGCATTGTATCGTCCCGGTCTAACATGGCGAGTTAAGCAACATTGGGATCGGTTGATATCAGATTAATCGAAGAGCATCTGCCAAAAACTGCCCAAAAGTCCAAACTTCTCTCGAGAACATCTGGGTGCCTTCACGGAAGTAATACAAAAGGGCACTACTTGCTTGTACGTGGATAACGTTTCAGGAGTCGACCAGATTGAACTTCACCTCCCACTTTTTCTTTCTGACTCTGAAGCACTGGAACAAGCCGTAGAACACAGAGCACCTCGAGGAGGGTTCGAAGGCCTAGTGCTTGGCAGGGCTTCCAGTGAGTTCCGGTAGTGAATTGACAGGACCAAAACTCATAAAAGAGTGAATGTTGCATATGGGTAGACAGTTCGGGTGGGCTCCTCACATAGGAATCCCGAACTGTCATATAATTCCAGTAGGAATCTGGAGTGTCGCGAAAGATTCTGCAAAAAAAA